CATCCAACACCTTAGGGGTCATCTCCTAGACGATAGAAACCTAAAAACCCTTGGCTATATCTCACTGCTTAAGTAATACAGCAATTTTTTGGATGCCCAAAATTGCTTAACAAATTATAATTAAGAATGAGTATGTATTAAAAAAAATAAAACCTTAGGTATAAAATGAAGATGTTATATCAGAATCTAATTGGCCTATAAACAAAAATTAATGGATAAATTCAAATAAGTTCTAGGCCTTTGTAACATAAAGATAAGGTAACCCTCTCACAACTCTGGTCCTAAATAAGCTAATTTGTGAGGGAAGAGAAGTTTTGGAAACAGCTTACTTCTTATTTGGGTAAGTGTATCTTAAAAAAAATTTTTAGTTAATATACATCTTACTACATCATCAAAGAAGGAATTTAAAAATTGAGTAGAGAAAATTAGCTCTGTTCCTTCTATAATTGGAATAGATCTCAACTCTACTATTAAGAGCTCATTATATAAATTGCATATATCCTATTCGCAATTATATAACTTTAAATCAAGAATGGTAATAAGTTTCAAATTGTGATTATGAAATATTTCCAAAAAGAATATGGAAATATTAGAGTAGTTATAAATGTCGAATATCTTTTGATTTGTATTATTAGGGTATTGATAGATCCTAATATTCTTTACTACTTAGATTGATAATAATCACTTAACATTTACTCTCCATAATTACAGTTATTCTAATACTTATACATCAACCTATGAATATTTATTAAACTCAGGGTTTTGTGATAATAAAAAATATGAAATGTTATAAATAAACATAACTCAAAATAAAGCTTCCTTTTTTTAATATTTCAACAAATTTAGTAGGAGATGCTTAGGTGTCTATAAAAACCTTTATATACTCAATTATCAATTTAATTGTTATCCAAGATGCTCTACTTGTGTAGGTCCTGAATATAATCAATTTTCAACTTGTTTTTATGGTATTCAAGAACTATAAATTTGTCCATCTTGTCCATCTGATTATTATTATGTTCAATACAAGGGTTGTCTACCAAAATTTAATTTTAATTGAACCTTTATGCTTTTATGGATTTTGTAAGATTTGTTTATGTAAGATGTTTGATCTATTTTAGCTTATATCTAATATTCTACCAATCTATCTAATTTTACTGAATAGATCTTTTGGTCAATAAATTATGATAATCAACAACAATTCAATATACAACAATCTTAACTATTATGGTTTAATTAATTTTTTTATGGAATATTTAAATATAATAATGGAATATTTAGATTTATATATGAGATTATACCAAAAATTGGTTATCATATTGGGCTTAAAATACAATTAATTCTTTTTGATGATTTACCTCTTGAATGTGGAATCCATTTTAAGTTTAATCAAACTTATTATGGTTCAATATTTAATACAAGTTCAGGAATCAAACTTCATAATTTTACAAAAAGTAATTGCACAAAATAAGAACTATCTTATCTATTTAGTACTAATAATTATTTATGTGAAATTTATGGATACTTTGATATTCCTCAGTATCCATTCAAAACAATAGTAATGATAACTCTCTCCGTCTATGTCTATGGGATATCAAAGCAGGATGAAATAAAAGTTAAATTGGATGATCTATTAATAAAAATTAACCGTTAGCTTGACTAAAACACTATGTTATATTTGAAAGCTACTTTTCTTATAGACCATAATAATATTATAAAAAGCAAATTATTAAAAATGTAGAAAAAATTAATGTAGTTTATTTAATTGTTGAATCAGAATTTTCTAATTTTCCTATACACATGAGTATATAAATAGATATGTTATTTAATGAATTTAAAATTGAAGGGACTTATAGAAGATCATTCTTGGAGCTCCTTTTGTGTTACTTGAGACACAAAATAGCAATTATCTTCTGCTTTATAAATTAATGATAATGATGTTCTTTTACTTATTAGATTTATTATAGTCCTTATTGTATATGAAATATATGTAATATCAATTTTCACCTCATTCAATAGAATTTTTGAACACTTAGACTAAAGTATCATTATAACCAGTCATGAATTAATTTTTAGGTAGCTTTTGTTCAGAACATTATTACAATTTCCAAATTATAAATTTAATAATACAATTTAAATCTTAAACAGCGTTAATGCAATACTTGGGTTATTATTTATCCTTATGGCTACTTTTCCACTACTTTCAATTACTTCTGCACAAATAAAAGATTTAAGGAAATGGAAATATTTTCATTGTGAATCTAAAACATAATTTTGGGCAGCTTAATGCAGGTCATTTTAAATTTATAGAACATTGTTTTA